CTAAGGTAACAAAGAAAACTATACTGCTTAATTAATGTTCTCCCACTTCATGAGAGTTCTGTCTAAAACTACATCATTACTGGGGCTCAGTTACATGCCTTCACTTTCCCAGCGCCAGATGCCTACCACCACCACCACCAGCCCCACCACCACCACCACTAAATGTCCAGTTCAGGTCACGCCAGAATCAATCCCATTCTAAGATATACCACAGGGCGTATCGTCTCTGATTTTTCTCAAAGTTTTTGTAGCAATGTAACCTTTACTACAAAAATAAAACAAAATGAAACCTAGAATAGTCAGATTGCCACTCAATGCCCCCACAATCTAGGTCCAAATCACTGTGAGGCATTAATTTTCTACCACTCCAGTCCACAACTCTCATGTTCCAGCCAACCTGTGTTACAGCTCACTTTCCTTCATTGACATCTTTGCGCAAATCTTCTAAGTTAACTAAGACACCTTTCTCCTTCAAAGCTGTCTCCTGAAACCCAATCCATGCTTGGCTAAAATCCCACTCCTTCCCTAAGAAATCTTCCCAAAGTCCCTAGTTAAAGATACATTTCCCCTCCTCTCTAGATTGTTTTTCCCACACAATTTGAACCACATTGGCCTATGGCACTGACACATGTCTATTTTCAAATCATGAATGCATGTAACTCTTAATATGGAGTCTCCAGTGGGCAGGCCTTCCCTCTGGCATTCTTTTATTACTGCAGTGCTGTAGACAGAAAGGAAGGAAGCTCCACGACTCTGTGGAATTCTCCTATATCTGATTCTGCTTATTTTTTACTTGGCTTTTATTATTTGGGGGCCGTGAGTTGGGTAGATATTTAATTATATTTATGGTTTTATGAAGGAAACATTAAAATACATCATTTATCCCAATTTACCATACAAATATCTGGAGGTACATTAAATCTCCCAGCAAACAAAAAGAAGGTAACATAAAACAACATTTGACACACAAATGATCTATAAAGCAGACCACATAATAATAACAACCAGAGACTGAAGAATATCTGAAATACTTAAAAATCTGGACATTTTTCTTCAAATAAAAAGTATATTCATAGTAAATGAAGATTTAACAATTTTCTCTATTTTCTGGAATCCTGAGATGAAATGCATGTCCTTACGTTTATATAGATGATGTATATTGCCTTATAAGCAAAAGCTTCAAAAAGTTTGTGAAAATTTTGAGCTAAAAAGAGTACCATGAATTCTCCCCGGAGGCACTGCTCGTCCTCTTCCCATAGCTGCCTGAGGTGTTCTGCCAAAGTGACCCAGAAAACTCCACAAAATCATGCAAATCAAGAAGGTCAAAGCTCCAGGTCCACTTTTAGAACACCTGTGAAACTGCCCAGGCCATCAAGGGTATGCACATCCAGAAAGCCACCAAATATTTGAAATATTTGAAATAAGTGAAAGTCATCACTTTGCAGACGCAGTGTGTGCCCTTCCAACGTTACAGTGGTGGAGTTGGTAGGTGTGCCCAGGCCAAACAGTGCAATTGGCACCAGGGTTGGTGGCCCAGAGTGCGCTGAATGTTTGCTGCACGTGCTTAAAATGCAGTCATGCTGAACTGAAGAGTTTAGATGTGGATTATCTGGCCATTGAGCACATCCGGGTGAACAAAGCCCCCAAGATGAGCTCCTGGACTTACAGAGCTCACAGTCGGACCAACCCATGCCTAAGCTTCCCCTGCCATATCAAAATGAGCCTGACTGAAGAGGAAACAAACTGTTCCTAACCAGAAGAGGAGGTTACACAGAAGAAAGATCTCCCAGAAAAAACTGAAGAAGCGAAAACTTATGGCTCGGGAGTAAATTAAGCTTTAACTAAAAGCTGCTAAGTAAAAATACATATGCATTTTAAAGTAGGGCTGCAATATCTACAGATATTTTGGCTTATACATAACAAATTTCAAATATGTCAGCTGTACTGCTTAAGTATACTACAAAGGTAATTTAGTTGTTACCAGAGAGATCACATAATTCAGTTTTCTTTGACAGAATTTTACTTTTGAAGAGGGAGAACTCCACCTTTCCAAGATAAAGAACATTCAGGTACTCCAATGGCCAACTTTCATGTACTGGCATTCCAGAATCTTCCCCATAATGGAATAATGTAAACTGTCTAGCTTTTGCAAACGTCTATGATTTGCTATCTCTTGCTAATTTCACACCTATTAGCCTTTGGCAGTTTCCCTACCAAAACATTCTCATAACAGGTATTTGATTTCAGACTAACAAATCACGTGTGGCGTATCCTAACAGCCTCTCTTGGCAAAGAAACTGCAGGAGCTTAGACAGCACTGATGGTAGCAGAGCTGACTTCTGGTCTCCAATGCCAGCAAACGCTTTTTTTCCCTTAACTCAAACTGCATTTGCAAGACATCCTGGTAAGATTTCTTATGCCTCTACAAACATACTCATTCTTTGTCCTGATATCTTTCTGAAAATCAGATTTACTTGCAGGGTGGAGAAAGGGGCAGAACGTAAAGGTAAGTTATTCCAAATTTCTCATTTTTTTGACAATATGCTGTAAGTAATGTTTAATACTGAGAAAAAATTAACTATTAGGATGACATCAGAAAACCAACAATTAAAACAAAACTTCAAATGTCGTGTTTATTATAAAAAAAAGTTTTAAGCTGCAACTATCATTTTTAAAGTCAACAAAATAGAACAGGACATTTTCTAAACGGTCCTTTATGACCTTGAGGAATACTCCCGGTGTCAACATCACCTGCCATTGCACGGCTTCCTCACTGACGTTTCAAAAGCACCACAAAGGGGAAAAAAAAACCTTGAGAGAGAAATGCCTAAAGGTCAGTCTATTCCCCTAGTTCCTCAAAAGTTCATCCATGAATTAAGTCGGCTCATTACAGAGCCACGCACTTGGATCCTGAAGAGATACTGAGGATGTGCAGAGCAGAGACGCTGTTTAAAAGCTACATGTTTTCCCCATGATAGTTCACAAGATCAATTGTACTCTTGAGTTGTGATTCTCTAAGCAGTTTTACCCAAGGAACCAAAAATCCTGTAAGTGGTTGTATTTTTCTCTCTTCACTGTTAGCTATTTGAAAACTAAGATCCAGCTCCACCCACTGTAGAGCAAAAATAATAATCAGTCACATGTGCTATCTCATTTTGTGACAGGCACTATTTTAAATATTTTATGATTTCTTTTAAGACCTCTGAACTATCACTTCCAATTTACAGTGAAGAAATTGAGGCCTAACAGGATTAATCGTAATAACAGCTAAAATTTAATGAGCATCAAACACTGTTCTGCTTTATATTTATTAATATATTTAGTCCTCATAACAACCCTGTGAAGTAAGCACTAATTAATCCTATTTTATAAATGTTTAGAGACTTATAAAGAGATCTATCCATATGCCAGTTCTATCTGTAACTAAGGTGCGGTAGTTTATTGTGCCAACCTGGCCGATAAACACACGTGGGGTTAATTGAAGGGTGGAGGGATAAAAGGTTCGGTGAGCCTCGCCTTTGCAGCCTTTCCAGTTCTCTGGTCTCTTGCTTTCTGATGGTGGGACCAGGTGGCAGCTGCCTTAGCCAGTTCCCTTCTTCAGCTGACAAGGCTCATTTCCTGCAAGACATCCCTTAGGAGAAGCCACATGGACCTACCCCGATGCAGCCCTGGATGCTGGAGCACACGTGGGAGACCCCTGCCAGCGCTGAGATGCTTACACGCTCACTGATTCGACTTTCCTCCTGCAGTCGGCATCATTGCGTGTTTTGTGAGATGGAGGAGGACTTTGTGGACTGGTGTCAGACATATGGGTTAATGTTGTTCTTGTGGGCTTGGGCAGCACTGGGTTGGGATGTTTTCTTGATGTGCACTTAAACTTTATATAAAACTCTCTCAAAAATATATGAGTTTCTGTGGTTTGTTTCTCTAAAGTACCCAGACTAACACATAAGGTAAAAGGTTGAGGAGTACTAAGTGTAAGTGCTAAGTAAGTACTAAGTTGTAGAGCAAGCACTTAGACCTAGAAACTGGATTCAGGGTCCTGACACACTGTGCTAAACCATGGCCTTGTCCATGGCAATTACTGCTCCTGAAATCAGAAGTGGAACTCAGTTCAGCTTTACCCCAATGCTAAGTTTGTAAGGACTGTATTTTAATGCCTTCCTATTGCCTGCCCTTTATGCAAATAATAAATAAATAATTCAGTGTCTAATGTTCTAGACACTAAGCAGACAGACTAACCATCCTTCAAATTACCCTAAAAGTTAAGAAATCTTGCCTCCCCTAAAGCCATAAAGATATTCTATGCTTCCATGTAGAAATTTTAGTTTTGGCTTTTACCTTTAGGTCTACATTATACTGTGCGTTACTTTTGTGAATGGAGTGAAGAAAGAGTTAAAATTCATTTTTCCATAGACTCAAGCAAGGTAATATTCCACTCAATTTTTTTAATTTAAAAATTATCAAATTTAATTCATTTTAAAAAATTAAATCCATCTTGAAGTTGTAGTATACCTGAATAAAAGCAATCAACAAAAAAAACACATCTCACATAAAAGAAATTGTTCTGCTTCACTATAAAACTAAATAACATCATTTGCAAGAATCTTCACTAACCTTCATTAATGTCAAATAACCTAGATATCCATGCCAAATGATGTTATTTCTATAAAATAGAAAGCACTTTCTTGAAGTTCTCACTATGTTTAATTAAATTTCCATCAGAGATACAAGCACAGAGCACTGAAACCAAGTGCATGTTTGTCTTTATCCTAAGATCCAGACCTCCTGCACCACATTATGAAGCCAGACACGCTCACCTGAGTCGCTGCAGACTGACAGGAAGGTGACGATGACGACGAGACAACAGGAATGTCAGACTGTACAGCAGCCACAGTGGTAGCGGGTGTGAAAATCAGCTGTACAGACAGAAAACCAAAAAATACCCTAAGACATAAGAACATGTCCCACACACAATGTATAGCAGGCAAGAAAGACTGAAATTTGTGACAGAGACAGTGCAGTTTAGAATCATCTTCTAAGCAAAAGGTTTTTACAGGACAAAGAGAAGTTACTAATATTCGAAAACTAAAAATCTCATGAACAAATTCGAAATAGCTGTGATTCTAATGTGTAGAGAAATAAATCAATCCTCAAAAGAGAAAGTATGGTTTGATCATGCAAAATCCTCAGACCTTATTTTTCCCCAGCTAAAACTATTATACTTAAACCTTTCCCAGCTCACTACTGCCGCAGGGTTCCTTCAATGGGAAGTTTGAAAGACCACCAGTTACTATTCTTGGACACAAATTACATTTCTGTGAGAAACATGAAAAGAAGCACCAACAAGTCTTTTAAACCCTCCTTACCACAGAGGCAAACTACACACATACGACATCTCAGTCTTTCGCTCAGCTACACCAGTAAAACAAACCTAGATAACTCTTGATTTAAAACTACTTGCAAAGAACGCAACCACCACACATGTCCAAATTCAGCATCAAAACCATCTGTGAAAATCTTCACATCAAAAAATAGAATAACTCTTTATTCATCACTATCTTTTCTCAATTGTTTTCAATACTGAAATTGAATGCCATTGATTTTTAAGGTAGTACAAATCCACTCAGAGAAGATCCTATTTAACTTTGTAAATTATGACACCTGTTTCAAAGAATCTGTAAATACTCTACCTCAAAGTTCTATTAACACTCAGTTCCAAAAAAGACCCTACTACTATTCAAATGAAAATGACCAACTATGGGATATTTTTAAACTTCAGTTGTTTAGTTACTAGACTTATGTAAATTCAGCAACCAAGAACAATTTTCACAAAAATGTAATTTTCATTACAAACTACTTAAAAGCTCTAAACCTCAAATTTTATTAAGACAGTCTATTTCGTTTGAGTCATATGAAACTGCCTGTTTCAAAGATTTTTTAAAAATAGTCAAATAAGATTTTAAATAGTTTGACCTAGTTAAAAGCACATTACTGGTTAAATAAGTTGCCAAGGGGGTAGGGTGCATGCAGAGACTAGAAATGTGGTAATGTGCACTCAATAGCCTCTAACTACAAGGGAGGCCGTGTCACTATCTCTTGCTGGAAATATAATTAGAAACCTTCTTTGCAATTTTACACGGAAAGCTGGAGCTCTAGATAGACGTTCAGATTGACTACTCAAAAAAGAAAATAAATATGTAACTGGGCCCATTTTGTCTTATTTTGTAAACACATCAAATAAACTTAAGAAGGTAAGTTAGAATAGCAGTAGGTACATAAATACAAATAATCAAATTCATACTTATATTAATCTACGATCAAAGTGAGAAAACAAATTAATCTTGCAGAGTTGAAATGGGAGAAATAACCAAAGTTAAAAAGCATCTGATGACTTATCAGGATATTCAATTCAGATTTCAGAAGATCTCAGGATATAAATTTTAATTTATAATTAACAACAAATATTTTAATATTTATAATTACCATTTTATCAACTCTAGACTATAAAAGACATACAATGATTTTATGTTATCACAGAAAGTACCAATTATAGCTGTAAGATACCATCCTAAAATGCATCCTAATTTCGGGGATGTTAAAAGATGGGGAAAAAAACAGTTTTGCATTGAGGAAATTTGATTATTTTAAAAAATCACTCCAATATTTAAAAACCTCTGACAGGTTCCCAATTTAAAAAATTTCTATTTAAGACACTGAGAAGGCTTACCTATTAAAGGTAGAATTTTCCATGACATAATGTATGGGAACTGGGTATGCACATGCACCATGCACATACTTAAACCGTTATTATTTTAAATGCCTGTTATTGCATTAAATCAACAAACTCTTTGATCGCTCTTAAGTTCATAAACACTCAGCTTAGTCTTACCATTTGAGCTCGGAGGTACATTTGAGCTTGACTTGCCGTTAAGGTAGGCGAGGTACTCCCTAGTAACATAGTCTGTTGAGTAATACTGCCGCTGGTAGAACTGGAAGCCTGGGATCGGCTCATTAACTGTGCAGGTGTAGGTGAGGTGGAGAGGTTGATCTAAGGATGGAAAAAATATTAGGTTACAGGCTTCCATATCTTGCTTCCCTGTCACTGAGTGTCACCAAGCTGCCATCAGCCAATCAATGAATATCAATTGTGAGACTAAGGAACCAATGAAGAGAACTTCATCTCTGATAGACTCTTTACTTCTTTGGTAAATTATTTGCACACAGGCAGAAAATAGCACGTACTAGTCAGTACCAGGACAATTTTTCAGGATATGCACAATGTGTTTAAACAAAATTTCTAGTATCTTCCTTAAAATGTCATTTGCACGAGCTAATGTTCCATTATTTTCATATTCCACATACTAACTTAAAGCATTCTACCCAATAGTTTGTATTATTTTGGCATATATTGTCTCACATTTTGAAGTTTCTAAAGTGAACAAAAATGAAAACAGCCTAGTCATGTATATAAAAGCATGTAACACGTAACACATAATTATAGTTCTAACTCAAAAGAACTCCAAGTAGAGAAAAATACAATTACTACTTGCAAATAGAAAACTCCTGAGTATTGGTTACAAAATTAAATTATAAATACTGCTTGTAAGTTTAAAACTGCCCCTAAGGGAAGAAGCATAGTCTACATAAGCAGATCCCCCCAGAAGGATCCATAAGGAACCAGGAGCTGCGGTCCAGGGAGGGAGACCAGGCTGGGTAGGGACAGAACGGAGGAAGTCATCGACACCCTTTCTCATTTTTTCAGTTGCTATAGACTGCCTGTGTTAAAAATAAATATAATTTTTTAAAAAATAATATAATCTGCTTTCTAATCATTTTGTGGAAAACAATAAAGCAAAAAAATAGTTCATTAGACTTCTGATTCAGAACAAGGAGGACTAGATTAATACACCCACGTACACAAACACACTAATATCATCCTAGATCAGTATTAAAAAATTAGGGTATAGGTGGAGAGCAAATGTTTTGAGAATGAGGATAACGAATGTACAAATGTGCTTTATACAATTGATGTATGAATGGATTGTGATAAGAGTTGTATCAGCCCCCAATAAAATGATTTTTTTTAAATTAGGGTATATAGCTGAACACAAAAACATGGAAGGAAAGGGAAATCTCTAAGTGCCAAGAGTCAGAAACTCAAAGAAAAGCACCAAGGGAACAACTGGGCCTGGGCCTACAGAAACCTCACTTAGTGCCCCATTTCCAGGATGGCGAAAGTGAAACCCACGTTTAGAGTCAAGATATTCAAAAAGGCTGCTCAACACTTGAAAAGAGAGCTGGAAAAGCTCTGCTCTGAAGCTCAGAGAAGCAACCGTGATGCCCTGCAGTCCACTCCTCCCAAAGTAGAGGGGAGAGAGAGGCCCCTGTGAGAAACCCAAGCCCCAGGTTTGAGTCACTGGAAAATACAGAAATGGAGTTTACAGTACAGGAGCAGATCCTGGTCCCACTGTTAACATTAGAACTAGTGCGAGTCACTTGTTTAAACTTAGTAGTGACTGGAGGAAGCTGAGAGAAGGCTACATAGGACCTCTCTATAATAGTTTTGCAACTTCTTATGTGTGTATAAGTATTTAAAACTAGAGAATTTTTTTAAAAAGGAATGGGTATAGAATTAGATACTTCACTAAAAGTATATGCATCTTTTCAATAAATATTTCATCATTTAATATGTTTAAATCAATAGTTAAGTGCTTATAAACATAACTATAATGTAATACAAAATCATTCTGTAATCTGACTTTTACTCCTACTGCACCACTGACTAAGGAAGACTGAAGAAGAAGCGACAATTTGAATTATGGTGCTGACGAAGGACATTGAAAGTCCTGTGGACTGCCAAAAGAACAAATCCGTCTTGGAAGAAGTTTGACTAGAATGCTCCTTAGAAGTGGGGATAGAATGGTGAGATTTCATTTCACATACTTTAGCCATGGTATTAGGAGAGACCAGTCCCTGGAAAAGGACATCATGCACAGTTAAGTAGAGGGGAGGCATCAGAAAAAAGGAAGACCTTCAATGAAGGGAATTGACAGGGGCGCAACATGGGCTCAAACCTAACAATTGTTTAAGGATGGCGCAGGGCCAGGCAATGTTTTGTTATGCTGTATGGAAGCTCAATGTGGGTTGGAACAGATTCAAGGACACCTAACAACGTATCACTTCAATCTCCTTATCAACCAATGACCTCTGACTAAGAAATGCAAGTACAATCTTTTCAGACCAGCACTTCTCTTACTCTTACCAGCTTCTGTGTCTGGCCTTCCCCTAAATGTTCCCACGCTATCCTAGCTTTTTTCTTCTTCTTGAATTCAGAGGCTGTCACATCTATTCCCATGGTTTCAAATTACTTGACCCTGATGACTCTCATTCCTTGACTGCAAATCCTTACTCTGAGTTCCAGATCCAGAATACATCTCTCTAGCTGGTACCAACTCCCACTCAACATGCTCAAAGGCCAAATTCATTATTATTCCTCCTAAACCAGCTCCCCTTCTATTCCTTATCTCACAAATGAAACAGGCATCTTCTGAATTCCCCCAGACAGATGGACTGAATGTCATCTTTGATTCTTCACTCTTCTTGGCCACATGCTCAAAATCTGTGGTGGGCCTGATTGTACCTACATCCTTTTTCTTGTCATATGCATTTTGATTTCTAATCATTTGGGACAGGGGTCCTCAAACTTTTTAAACAGGGGATCAGTCCACTGTCCCTCAGACCCGTTGGAGGGCCGGACTATAGTTTAAAAAAAACTATGAACAAATTCCTATGCATACTGCACATATCTTATTTTGAAGTAAAAAACAAAATGGGGTTAAATGTCCTCGGCGGGCTGCATGTGGCCCACAGGCCGTAGTTTGAGGACCCCTGACTTGGGATAAGATTCCAGGCCCATGGCACTGCCTGCTAGATTACTTTAACAGCTGCAGAGTGATCTCCTTGACTGCCAGATCATCTCTCCCTGATTTTATTAATATTAATTCCTATTTTAAAATCATTTATCTTATCTTTTCCTAGATGCCAGATCATTTTCCCTGATTTTATTAATATTAACTCCCAATTAAAAATCACTCCCATTCAGGATAAAGTTCAACACCCCCTGAACTACCGCTCTAGCATTGCCTCTGCTCCCACTCCTCCATGCACTAGACACCTGAAGTTATTTGCTGTTTCCATGATGTCTCAGGCCTCCCAACAGCACAACAATACTCCTAACTAGAATGGCGGAACAGCATCCCCCACCCACCCTCACCTTTATTATGAACTGCTCCTCAAAATAATTCACTCTAATTAGTGTTTCCAGGTTATCAGAATCCATCCCAAAGTGGAAGTGACTACTCCCCCATTTTTGCCTAATTCACCTCCATACATCTCCATCTCTTCTAAACACTAAACTCTTTAAGGGCTGGAACTATCTACAATGGTAACCTTCATACAAGGAGGCGTCAAAGAGTTCATGGAAAAATTATATTATTAATAATTAAGCCCATTACAAGGAGAGTAAGTATGCATGACAAGTGGAGAGAAGGAATCCGTTTTATAGTCTCTAACAAACCAAACTCGCTGCCATCAAGTAGGTTCAAACTCATAGTGGCCTGAAGGGGCAGGGTACAGTGTCTGAGGCTGGAGCTCTTCACTGGTGCACACGGCTGCAGCTTCCGCCATAGAGCAATTTGGTAGGTTTGAACTGTCAGTCTTCTGGTTAAAAATACAATGCTTAAACCACTGCACCCCCAGTGCTTCTGTATCTAACAGAGGAGAGTATGCATGCAGAGTTGGTGTGGTAATATTAGTTCAATTTTATCTTTTATATATGATAAGTTATTAAGAAGCCCTTCAAAAAAACAAGTATTCCTTTTCTATACAATATTATAAAGGCCTTTGGGATAAAGCCTTATTCTAAGGATTAAACCACTCATAGCAGAGCATAATTGGACCTCGGGAAGAAGAAGGAGGAAGGAGGAGGCAAGAGAGAAGAGGAGGAGAGGCAGGAACTCTGGTAAAGATAATCCGTTATCTTTTTTAAAAACCACAGGAACGATCTTGAAGAAATTATTGGTTGAACATTAAAATATCTAAGAGACTGTCTTTAAGGAAGTAAAAGTAAAACAAAGAACACATTTGTACATTATGTATTTTTCATACAAGCTGTATTTGAAAACAATAGAAAAGGGGAAGTAAGAAAAAAAAGACTACATAGTAACTTCCTGACCACCTGTATTCCACTTTGTATAAATTATGAGATCAAAGAACCAATATCTCACCCATGTGGAACTAAAAGCAAACATGTTGTTTCTAGCAAGTAACATTTCAGGAAGTGTTTACTAATAAGTGTCTGTCCTATGAGCCAAAAGCGCAGTAGCCATCTCTGCAAGAAATTCGCCTCCCCTGCTGGGTCCTCAAACTGTTTAAACAGGGGGCCAGTTCACTGTCCCTCAGACCTGTTGGAGGGCTGGACTATAGTTTAAAAAAAAGAAAAACTATGAACAAATTCCTATGCACACTGCACATAACTTATTTTGAAGTAAAAAACAAAACGGGGCAAAATCACCCAGCAGCCTGGATAAATATCCTCGACGGGCTGCATATGGCCTGTGGGCCCTAGTTTGAGGACCCCTGGTCTAAAACAATGCCCATTCCTCTCTGTGGGAGAAAGACAGGGCTTTCCACCCTTGTGAAGAGTTAAAGTCTCACTACAGTGCCTACGGGGGCACTGTGCCATGAGTCTGAATTGACTTGAGGGCAGTTAGTGTGTTTTCTCTGTAATTGATAAGGCTTTTATTTTCTGCTTCACTCCACTTACCTGAGTCAGATGCTCTTACAGTTTTCCAGTATTTTCTCCGTCTCAACACTCCTAATTTCTTTCACTAAAAGTCTTAAAGCCAATTCTGTCCTCTTGTTCTTCAAGCCCTCCGCTTCACATAGAAGTCGCTCCGAGCCCTATTGGGAAGCTCTCTCCCCACTGTTACTGATTCTAGGATTCACGCCAGAAATCCAGGGCTGCCACGGAAAACCACTGAGCTCAAC